TATATATATATTTAAAAATCCCAAACCCTATACACCCTAATAAACCCTTGAAAAGATGCTGGCCGAGGAGAAGCGACCGCCCGTGCATGTCCGCCCGACGGACATGCCCCAGGAGCTGCAAGAGCAGGCCGAGCTGCAGCTGAAGCTCTTGTCGGCCAGTCCTGACTCTGATTTGGTGGAAGCCCAGCGAAGGGTTGTTTGGCTTCGACATTATCAGCTAGTTACTGAAGATGTTCGCTGCATGTACTAGCCTGATCTGATTTAGATATTATTTGATGATTGCCTGAGGTAGCAGCTGCGGCCAAAGCACATGCAGAAGAACAGAAAGTGCAGAAGAAGCAAAACAAGGGCGGCAAGAAGAAGACCCCTGCAGCCCAGACTGAGAAGAAGGACAACGGAGTCAAGAAGGACAAGCAAAACAAAAAGAAGAACACAGCTGCTGAAACGCCAGCAGCTGCAGAGGCAACACGAGCGGCAGGGACGACGAAGAAGCCGGCTGATCTTAGCTCGAGCTGGCTGGATGCTGCAGCTTAAGGTCGCACTATATATTAGCAAATCAGATCATACGACCGCATCTAGGATCACATGTATGGCCATAGTTCTCTTTATCTAAGGCAGTCGAAATCCGCCGAGCCGGGATCCCAATACCGGATGGATTCCATGGAGACCGGCCATCCTTTACAGCCCAAATCACGGGTACGGACTCGAAGGCTACAATCATCTGGCAGCAACGGTCAATCTACGTCAAGAAGTCGAAGGGCTGTAAGGATGAAAAGGTGAATGTCGATGGCAAAGGAGGCTCGACGCTTTCGGTGCGTAAACAGGGCGGTTGCTGGTTGCAAGCGTGGAAATTGGCAATGCGTTGCGGCCGACCCATGTGAACTATCGAGCCTAGTACTAATTAGATAATTGATTAGTGTTTATTGAAATTGCGACCGTTACTCCCTGGATCTCTAGATCTCAGCATCTGAGGAGAACGGTGGCCCAGCAGTTCGATATGTAGACATCCATCCAGATTGATGAGTCTGGATGACTGGATGACGGGTGACCGCCCTGCAAAGGACTGGTTTTAGTTCTCGCCTAGGGTTTAGGGTTTAGGGTTTGGGGTTCTGGGTTCAGGGAATTAATTGGCTTGAATTTGATTCGCGGTCAGGGAGTGGAGATAATCATTTAGAATTCTATATATTTAAACTACAGCAGCAGGACGGCTTGGGGTGATCTTGGGGCCTCGAGATCCAATTTAGTGCAGCTTGGTTGCAACTGCATTTACGACAGCAGATATATATAGAACCGTTATGTAGATCCTCGTGTTGGCTAGCCAAGGCACAGATCCGTTCGCCGCCGGCTCCGAACATGCTGCGATCCTCGTGATGAGCTTGTGTTCGCAGGGGGCATACAAAATCTCGAAGCAACGGTGAGCTGCAACATGTGTGAACATGTACCTCATGTAGCCACTGTGGGTGATGCATGAGACATGCACTGCTGGGTTTCAAGTCTGACTGCGATCTCAGATTACAATATAGTGATGTCGGCTTTTCTTGCTATATGTACAATTGCAACTAAAACCTTGCACAGATATTCATAATGTCGTCCAGACCGGGCCAAAGGGCTCCTGATCCTGCCGCCGTGTCTCTGCCCACGCCAGTCATGTCCCAGAGCCCGCCGGTATACCTGAGTGGGGCAAGACTCCAGCTGCTGCTGGGTATGAAGGCTCCCCTCGTCCTGTGCTTCGCCTTCGACACTACACGTTCTATATTTGGTGTCTACACGCATGGCTTGGAACATATGGGCATATGTGTACCCCTCGATGCGAACTTAGGCTCCAGATGTGCGACTACATCGCCCAGACTAATATTATCGATGTGCAGGGGAGAAAGATTTGGCGTCGTGATGTCGACTGTCTCGAGCTGTTTGCTGGCTGTGCCAAACTCACGAAAACTTTTCGGAATTGGGGGTACAGGGCGCCGCTCTGAAGCACTATACCATTTTTGTCTGGTAGAATCATATATTAATCTGCTGATCAACCCAGGCAGAGCTACGACGTCCAGCTCAAAAGCTCCAATGATATTACGACTCCTCTGGGAATGGTGACAGCTGTCTCTTGGACTCAACAACGACAGCTTGGTCATCTTTGTTGGGTGTGGCTTCAGGATTGGATATGGGCCTGAGACAGACCTAGATATCATCTTCAATCCCAAATCCTAGCGCTTGACTAGATGAAAACCCTGAAACCCCTAGATTCTAAAGCTGGGAACCCATATGTATATAGCACCAAACCCCAATGTTAAAAAGGCCTGAAAGCCCCAAATCTAGAACCCTGAACCCCCCAAACCTAAATCCCTGATCAAGTCCCATACATACTTAAAGCTCCGAAGCCGCCACTTCAGAATCCATGTGACAGGATCGCTTTGCCAGGTCTGATAACCTATAGTAGGTTATCAGACCTGCCAAAGCGATCCTGTGCTACTCTACACTTTTAGTTCTTAAGGTCCCCTAAACCGGTTGAGGGCATTATATATTTATATATAGAAGCACAATAATGCACACACACACACACACACATATATATATATATATGTATGAGTCAAAAACTGTAAGATCGAATCGATACGATATAATATGTATGTAGATAGATAGATAGATCTATGCTAGTATTCACTATAGAGCCTATATATATATATATATACAGGACATCATATTACACATTCGCC